CTCTCAAACTCATTGTATGAGACCACCATCACCCTGATACTAAAACCAGACAAAGATGTCACACAAAAAGGAAAATTACAGGCCAATATCACTTATAAACATAGATGCAAAAATCCTCAACAAAATACTAGCAAACAGAATCCAACAGCACATTAAAAGGATCATACACCAAGATCAAGTGGGGTTTATCCCAGGCATGCAAGGATTCTTCAATATGCGCAAATCAATCAATGTGATACACCATATTAACAAATTGAAGGATAAAAACCGTATGATAATCTCAATAGGTTCAGAAAAATCTTTTGACAAAATTCAACACACATTTATGATAAAAAAAAAAAACCTCTCCAGAAAGTAGGCATAGAGGGAACCTACCTCAACATAATAAAGGGCATATATGACAAACCCACAGCCAACATCTTTCTCAATGGTGAAAAACTGAAACCATTTCCTCTAAGATCAGGAACAAGACAAGGTTGCTCACTCTCAGCACTATTATTCAACATAATTTTGGAAGCAATCAGAGAAGAAAAGGAAATAAAAGGAATCCAAGTGGGAAAAGAAGAAGTAAAACTGTCACTGTTTGCAGATGATATGATACTATACATAGAGAATCCTAAAGATGCTACCAGAAAACTACTAGAGGTAATCAATGAATTTGGTAGAGTAGCAGGACACAAAGTTAATGCACAGAAATCTCTTGCATTCCTATACAATAATGATGAAAAATCTGAAAGAGAAATTAAGGAAACACTCCCATTTACCACTGCAACAAAAAGAATAAAATACCTAGGAATAAACCTACTTAAGTAGACAAAAGACTTGTATGCAGAAAACTACAAGACATTGATGAAAGGAATTAAAGACGATGCAAACAGATGGAGAGATATACCATGTTTTCGGATTGGAAGAATCAACATTGTGAAAATGACTATACTATCCGAAGCAATCTACAGATTCAATGCAAACCCTATCAAACTACCAATGGAACTTTTTACAGAACCAGAACAAAAAATTTCACAATTTCTATGGAAACACAAAAGATCCCAAATAGCCAAAGCAATCTTGAGAAAGAAAAATGGAGCTGGACGAATCAGGCTCCCTGACTTCAGACTATACTACAAAGCTACAATAATCAAGACAGTATGGCACTGGCACAAAAACAGAAATATAGATCAATGAAACAGGTTAGAAAGCCCAAAGATAAACCCATGCACATATGGTCACCTTATCTTTGATAAAGGAGGAAAGAATATAAAATGGAGAAAAGTCAGCTTGTTCAATAAGTGGTGCTGGGAAAACTGGACAGCTACATGTAAAAGAATGAAATCAGAACACTTCCTACCACCATACACAAAAATAAACTCAAAATGGATTCAAGACCTAAATATAAGGCCAGACACTACAAAACTCTTAGAGGAAATCATAGGCAGAACACTGTATGACATAAATCACAGCAAGATCCTTTTTGACCCACCTCCTAGAGAAACGGAAATAAAAACAAAAATAAACAAATGGGACCTAATGAAAGTTAAAAGTTTTGCACAGCAAAGGAAAACATAAAGAAGATGAAAAGAAAACCCTCAGAATGGGAGAAAATATTTGCAAACGAAGCAATGGACAAAGGACTAATCTCCAAAATATACAAGCAGCTCATGCAGCTCAATATCAAAAAAACAAACAACCCAATCCAAGAATGGGCAGAAGACCTTAATAGACATTTCTCCAAAGAAAATGTTCAGATATCCAACAAACACATTAAAGGATGCTCAACATCACCAGCCATTAGAGAAATGCAAATCAAAACCAGAATGAGGTATCACCACACACTGGTCAGAGTGGCCAGCATCAAAAAATCTACAAACAATAAATGCTGGGGCTTCCCTGGTGGTGCAGTGGTTGAGAGTCCGCCTGCCAATGCAGGGGACACGAGTTCGTGCCCCGGTCTGGGAAGATCCCACATGCTGCGGAGTGGCTGAGCCCGTGAGCCATGGCCGCTGAGCCTGCGCGTCTGGAGCACAGGCTCCGCAACGGGAGAGGCCAAAACAGTGAGAGGCCTGTGTACCACAAACAAAATAAAATAAAAAATAAAATAAAAATAAATGCTGGAGAGGGTGTGGAGAAAAGGGAACCCTCTTGCCCTGTTGGTGGGAATGTAAATTGATACAGCCACTATGGAGAACAGTATGGAGGCTCCTTAAAAAACTAAAAATAGAACTACCATATGACCCAGCTATCCCACTACTGGGCATATACCCAGAGAAAACCATAATTCAAAAAGAGTCATGTATCACAATGTTCATTGCAGCACTATTTACAATAGCCAGGACATGGAAGCAACCTAAGTATCCATCGAGAGATGAATGGATAGAGAAGATGTGGCACATATATACAATGGAATATTACTCAGCCATAAAAAGAAACAAAATTGAGTTATTTGTAGTGAGGTGGATGGACCTAGAGTCTGTCATACAGAGTGAAGTAAGTCAGAAGGAGAAAAACAGATACCGTGTGCTAACACATATATATGGAATCCAAAAAAAAAAAATGGTTCTGAAGAACCTAGGGGCAGGACAGGAATAAAGACGCAGACATAAAGAATGGACTTGAGGACACAGGAAGGGGGAAGGGTAAGTTGTGAAGGAGAGAGTACCACTGACATATATACTCTACCAAATGTAAAATAGACAACCAGTGGGAAGCAGTTGCATTACACAGGGAGATCAGCTCGGTGCTTTGTGACCACTTAGAGGGGTGGGATAGGGAGGATGGAAGGGAGACATAAGAGGTAGGGATATGGGGATATATGTATACATATAGTTGATTTACTTTGTTGTAAAGCAGAAACTAACACAGCATTTTAAAGCAATTATACTCCAATAAAGATGTTAAAAAAAAATCAGGGGCATGATAAGGATGCCAACTCTTGCCACTTTTATTCAACACAATATTGGAAGTCCTAGCCACAGCAATCAGACAAGAAAAAGAAATAAAGGAATCCAGATTGGAAAGGAAGAAGTAAAACTTTCAGTGTTTGTAGATGACATGATACTATGTATGGAAAAACTGAAAGACAGTACCAAAAAACTATAAATTCAATAAAGTTGCAGGATACAATATTAATATACATAAATTTTTTGTGTCTCTATACATTAGCAATGAACACTATCAGAAGGACAAATTAAGAAAATCCCATTTACAATTATATCAAAAAGAATAAAATACCTAGGAATAAATATAACCAAGGAGGTAAAATATCTGTACTTGGAAAACTATAAGATGTTGATGAAAGAAGTTGAAGATGACAGAAATGGAAAGATATACCATGCTCATGGATTAGAAGAATTAATATTGTTAAAATGACCATACTACCCAAAGCAATCTACAGATTCAATGCAATCCCTATCAAAATACCACTGGCATTTTTTTCACAGAACTAGAACAAATAATTCTAAAACTGTATAGAAACACGAACGAGCCCAACTAGCTCAAATACCTTGAGAAAGAAGAACAAAGATGGAGGTATGATGCTCCCTGATTTGAAATTATACTACAAAGCTACAGTCCTAAAAACAATATGGTACTGGCAAAAGCAGACACAGAGATCAATGCAACAGAATAGAGAGCCCAGAAATGAACCTACACTTACATGGGCAATTAATCTATGATGAAGGAGGCAAGAATAATTGATGGGGAAAGACAATCTCTTCAATAATTGGTGCTGGGAAAGCTGAACAGCTGCAGGCAAAAGAACCAAGTTGGACTACTTTCTCACTCTATATACAAAAAGAAACTCAAAATGGATTAAAGGCTAAATGTAAGACTTGAAACCATAAAACTCTTAGAAGAAAACAGGCAGAACACTCTTTAACATCGGTCTTAGCAATATCTTGTTGGATATGTCTCCTCAGGCAAGGGAAACAGAAACAAAAATACACCAGTGGGACTACATCAGACTAAAAGGCTTTTGCACAGGGAAGGAAACTATCAGCAAAATGAAAATGTTGCTTCCTGAATGGGAGAAGATATATGCAAATGATATATCTGATAAGGAGCTATTATCCAAAATATACTGAGAACTCATACAGCCCAACATCAAAAAAAAATAACTCGATTAAAAAATGGGCAGAGGAGTCCAAACAGGAGTGGGTCAGAGGTGCAGTCTGAGCCCGTCATGGAGCAGCTCAGGAAGGCGGTGATGGTGATGGAGTTTGGCCCTTTTGGGGAACACACTGTGAACACCAGCTGGATTGCAGTGCAGCAGAACAGAGGGATGGGATCCCCGGGACTCTGCAGATGGGAGCGTGTCTGAGGCCCTGCTCATTGCACCCGCTCCCTGGAGCCCCAGACAAAAAGGAAACAGCGTGTTTCTGAAGACGTGTGTGTCTGACTTTATGCGAGTTTCAGACAGGATTCTTCACGGGGCTGAGTGGACCCAAAGCCGTGTGTCTGAATTCCTGGGCCCCAGACACTATGATCAGCATGTAAATAAGAGAAAAATCAATTAAACAATCTTTGGAAATCTCTCCGAGCTTTGGGACTCGGATGGTGGAAGATGGCAACTTTTTATCCTCCTGCTGGCAAGGAAATGCCCCTTATATTTCAGTCGCCCATCTCTCCAGACATCACCTCTAGAAGACTTTCAGTTTTCTTCCTCAACTTTATCAGACAAGAAGAGAGAATTCTCCACCATTCCCTAGCTAAAAAGATGTCAACCTTCCCAGATCCAATTGTTTCCCTTAAAAGAAACAACAAAAAACTGGAGTTGCACATACACACCCTGAGTGTGCACAGCAGTGTCAGTCCATGAAATTTTACACATGTGCACCTCCACAGCACCTGAGTCCAGATCAAGACCTAGAACATTCTCAGCCCCTTCTCTGTTCTTCCCCATTGCAGAAGCCCCTTGTGTCCTTTCCCAGCTACTCCCACCGCATCCCCCCACCCCCACTCCCAGGTGTAAACCTGCTGACTTTATGGCTGCCATAGGTGTGTTTTACCTGTTCTAGAACTTGGTGTCAATGGAATTGCACTTGGGTCCCGTGCCTTCTGTGCAGCAGAGCATCTGCAGGATCCGCCCATGGGGTGGCTAGGAGCTGCTGCTGGTGGTGCTTTTCAGTTACTCTGGATAAAACAGATTTGCCCATGGGGGAAAAAAAAATGGGCAGAGGACCTGAATAAACATTTTCCCAGGGAAGACATACAGATGGCCAACAGGCACGTGAGAAGATGCTCAACATCACTAATAATTAGGGAAATGCAAACCAAAACTACAATGAGATATCACCTCACATCTATTGGAATGGACATCATCAAAAAGACCACAAATGACAACAGATGGTGAGATATGGAGAAAATGGGACCCTCATGCACTGTTGGTGGGAGGGTAAATTGGTGTCGCTACTATGGAAAACTGTATGAAGTTTCCCCCCAAAATTAAAAATAGAACTACCATATGATCCAGCAATTCCACTTTTGGGTATTTTTTCAAAGAAAACAAAAACACTAATTCTAAAAGATTCATGCACTCATATGCTCATTGCAGCACTAGCCAAGATATGGAAGCAACTTAAGTGTTCATTGATAAATGAATGGATAAAGAAGATTAGATAGATAGATAGATAGATAGATAGATAGATAGATAGATAGATAGGAGATAGATATACAATAGAATATAACACAGCTTTTCAGCCCTAAAAAAGAATGAAATCTTGCCTTTTGTAGCAACATGGATGGACCTAAAGGGTCTTATGCTAAGTGAGGTAAGTCAGACAAAGAAAGAGAAAGACCATATGCCTTCACTTATATATGGAAGCTAAAAAACAAAAGAAATGAACAAACATAACAAAACAGAAATAGACTCATGGATACAGAGAACAAAAGGTGATTGCCAGAGGGGATGGGGGGTAGGCGGATGAAAAGAAAAGAAAAGAAAAGAAAACCCCAAAATGGTAACTGTGTGAGGTAATGCTAATTAGCTTGATTGTGGTGATCACTTCACCATGTGTATTTACATGAAACCATCACGTTGTATCCCTTAAATGCATACAATTTTTGTCAATTATACCTCAGTAAAGCTGAGAAAAGAAAAAAAAATGTATCCTTCACCTGGAGTAAGCTCCTCTCCTGGTTAAGACCATACTTGGCTAGGAAACATGCAGTGGCTGAGGGTAGGTTTGGAGACCAGTTTTTTCTTCCTTATCTCCCCATCTTGTTGCCCTCTATTGCCCCATCCTGCCTCTAGCTTCTCCGTGGTTGGCTCAAGGAGAGAGGAAGATAAGCGGAAGAGAAAAGTTCTTACTAGATCTGTGCTACTGTCACCTGGTTTGGTGCCTTCTGTTTGTGACTCATGCTCAGATGCTAATTTTCCCCCTCATAGATCTCTTCTGTGGGTTTGCCAGGATCCCTCTAACCACAGTTTTCTGTCCTGGACTATGCTTCTTCCAGCTGGCTACTTATGACTCCTAAGTCCGCCCCACACAGACCCTCTGTTGTGTTATCTCACTCCTCCGGGAGGGCCTCTGGGCAGAGTCCTGTTCAAGACTATGCAGTTGACTCCCTCTCAGGGAGCTCATGGCTGACCCGTGGTGAGACCTGTGTTCCTTTGCTTCTAAAAGTGCAGTTGGCTTCTCTTCTTCCTCCACCCTCAGGAGAAGTTTAATTATAATGTCTCACCTTTAGATTTTTCTCAAAAAGCAGCCCACCACCTTCGAGCAGACATGGGCCAAATTCTCTGCCCCACTCCCTGCTACCTCTGCCTGGGAAACAACTTCCAAAGAAGGGGCCCCCAGTAGTTTTACTTGATCTTCTCTTATATATCCTAGACGGGGGTCTTGAGCTAGTGGTTGCTTTTGTAGGTATAGTCTCTTAGTATGTACAGCGCTGCTGATGTGGCCCCTGCTGCTGTGGATGCCAGGAAATGTCTCATTTACCGTCCTGTTATGCACTACATTTCAGAATATCTGCATGACATATTTTTCAAGTTGAAGGTTCAAGGCTTGGAACCAACCCCACACTCATGGGTCCTGCTGAACTAGCTCAGGTCAAGTCCCCATCTGTGTGTGCTCAACCTTTTCTGGGCCCCAGTAGGGACCTGGCTTTCTCTTCCTACACTGTCCTGCTCCCAGCTCTTGGCTTGCCTAACACACATTCCAGCACATCTCCAGTAGGCCGTGGAGAGGCGAGAGGACCCTGAAAGCAGCCAGTGCACGGTTCCTTTGCTGGGTCAGTTTCTACCTGATGATGCTACAATGTTGCTCCTGTAACAGCGTCTGATGAGACTTGGTGTCTTAGTGTCTCATTACTGCTTATATCCTGAACTTTGGAGTGTGGAGACCATGGCTTCTGGTTTGGTTACCAGCTGTGCAGCCCGATTATTTGGTGACCGTGGCGTCTGCTTCTCGTGCTCAGCTTGAATCTTGATGCTGCCTCACAGAACTTTGCTCATGACAATAACTGGAATATGGCGGTTACTCTTTCGCGAGTGTGTGCCGAGAACTACTTTAGGCCCTTTTACGTGCATTAGCCCATTTATTTCTCCCAATAACTTTGAAAGATACACTACTGAGATTCAGAGAGGGTGAGGAACCTGCCCAAGCACAGCTAGCTCATTAACAGCATTGAGGATAACACTCAATTCTGCCTAATTTCAGAGGGCATATTCTTTCCTTTGCACCAGATTTAGGATTTTTTGCTCAGGGCTTGGAGAGGATGCTGAGTTCTGGGTGTTTTGTGCCTATTTTCACAAGCTCTCACTGACACTTGTGGGCAGGACAATTTCCTTGGGGCAGGTTTCTGGTTTGCTCCCACCTTCCCTGTGGGGCACCAACAGTCCCACCTGAGCCACTTCCCTACTCAGTATTCACAATTCAGCTCCTGTCAACGCCCCTGCATAAATACAAATGCAACTTGTCCACCCCTCACTAAGTAAGCCAGGTACGCTCCATGGAGAAAATTGTACTGATGTATTCGGAATTAACTAAGTTGATGACATTATATCTTAAATCATTCAAAATACATCAACATAGTTGATATAAAAGAGATATGGCTGTTTAAAAACATTTAAAGATGTTGGACAGCCTGGGGCTAGAGTTTCGCTCAAACACGGCAAGTGGGGAGGAGCAAGATGTAGAATGCAGATTTCTATGAAAAATGTAGGGGAGAAGTGACTTTGCTGAAAAGCCTTGGTAGCCACGGGTTGCCATGGTAACGCCGGAAAACCGGATCTGAATTAGGAGGAAATTCCTATAGGCTGGACTTTAGGAAAGGGAGAGGAGATCTTGTGTGCAAAGGGGGATGGGAGAGGAGGAGGAAAGGAAGGGCTGGGCTGAGAGGAGAGGGAGGGAGGGAATGAGCTCAGGACAGAGAGCAGGAAAGGAAGGGAGGGGCTGGGGACCACATCCAGGTAGGGAGCCATCTCTCCAGGGTTTTCTCTTCTTCTTTTTACAAAATGTCTATAACTGAAAGTAGAAAAGACTGGTCCTGGCCTGGCAGGTGAGGTCGTTTCCTGCCTCTAGGACCCAGTGACTCCCTCACTCAGCCAGCCCTGTCTGCAGGCCTGTTGCTCAGCGCTGGGACAGGAGCGCCGCTAGCCTCCCAGAGCCTCCCCAAGTCACCTGCAGCCTGGAGCTGGGCTGGTGTCAGCTAAGCGCTGGCTGACAGTTCTGGAAGGCTCTCATTCAGAAGCTGCCTGGAGGGAACAGTTCAGGCTCTCTTATTTGTTTTGAGCTAAAGCTCAAAGATAAACCAAACTGGAAGTAAAGTGCTGTGTTAGAAGCACTTCCAATCCTCTAAGAGCAAAAACAGCAGAAGGCAAGTTACCACCTATAAATAAGTGCCGGGCTGCAGGGACACTGAAGTTCTAGAGTGGGAGGAAAGGAAAGGAGTCCAGAGAGTCTCCCAACAGTGCTATTAACAGGCCAGGTCTAAAGTGGTGCAAGCTTTACGAAAGATAAAAACGAAAACACTGAAGTCAAGCCCTAGCTCTGCTATGTATTAGCTGTGTGACCTTGGGTGAGTTACTTAACTTCTTAGTGCTTCAGTTTTCTCATCTGCAAAAAGACATCATAGTAGTTCCTATCTCACGGGGTTGCTGAGAGAATTGAAAAGAATAGAGTGTTTAAAACTGTTAGCACTTAAATAATAAGCACTCAATACCCAGTAATCCATGATTGGGTGTGTGATTACTATAACCCATCCGAGGAGCCACGGTCAGGCCCTTGGCCATCAGGCAGGGTGTCACAGAACCTTTGGAGGACACCAGGCATCACTGCCTTTCATTCTTCCACCACGGTCTGAGGTCTTGATACTGAGAATGTGGCACCCCGGACTCAGCTGCACAGTTTCGTTACATCTGGAGTTAGATGATTATACCATTAAGGACAATTAATTTTTACTTGTTTTCTTAAGAAAAGTTCAGTTTGGTTAAGAAAATATAAACTTAAAGACTTGGGAAATCGTCTATAAATTTGTTCAGGAAAATGAGCCCTAGAACAGGAGCTCTCTAACTCACCTCTTTTCTTGTTGAACTTGAGCCAGATGGTCAGACGTGTTCTGATGCTTCAGACTAGAGCCCCTTGAGGACTTGGTGGGATCAGGCTTGTTCATTTCCTTAGTCCCCAGCCCACCACCAGGCACATGGTGGGTGTTCAGTAAACACTAGATAAATGGAAGGAATGATAAAATGTGAGAGCTCACCTCCAGAGGCTGCATCTCTCTTCCCAAAGGTAACCTCTTCCTGCTACTCCATCAGCTGAATCCAGCATGTGATGGCCAAGTTAGTGCATAGCTAAGTTGTCCTGTGAGAAAAGGGAATTTCATGATAGAAACTCCACAGAGTTAAGGTAGGCTAACATGAACTCTGATATCACCCAGTTGGCTCAGTCCAGGTTTTAAGCATGAAACAACTTTCCCAGGCACCGCCAGATCTCCATCCTCTCTGAAGGCTAGGCCTGGCCTCCTTCAAACTCCAGCTCTCAATATTCTTTTTTTTTTTTTTACTTTATTTTTTTTTACTTTATTTATTTATTTATTTTGGCTATGCCTTGCAGCTTGTGGGATCTTAGTTCCCCAATCAGGGATTGAACCTGGGCCCTCGGCAGTGAAAGCATGGAGTCCTAACCACTGGACTTCTAGGGAATTCCTCAACATTCTTTATTTAAGTTGTTATCATCAAAAACAAACATTTATTGAAGACTGACTGTCATGTGCAAGGCTGAATTCCAAGAATTCACGCAAGGTGGGTCATGGCGCAGCACCTGATGGAGTTTATAATGTTGTATTTGTTAGCTTTTGCTGCATAACAAACCATCTCAAAATGTCCTGGCATGTAAAAACAAACATCTATTGTTTGTTCACAATTCCTTGGGTTGGCTTGAATGCTTTTCTGTCCAGGATGGCTTAACTGGGACTGGATGATTTAGGACGGCCTCATTCACACATCTGGCAGGCTGCTTGGTCTAGATAGCTTGGCTTTGGTTGACCAGCTGGGAAGATCCATCTCTGCTCCTTGTGTTTTCTAATCCTTTGCTGGCTAGCCCAGGCTCCTCACACGGTAGCGAGGATTATCTAACGTTCCAATGGCAAGTCATGTTTACATTCAGACTCAGACTCAAAAGAGTGAAGACAAAGACTCTGCCTCTTGAAGGTAGAAGTGGCCAGGGCAAGTCATGCTGCAAAAGGACACACATCTAGGCAGGGGAGAAACTACTGTGGTTGTTTTGCAAACTATCTACCATAGGTCTTATTGGGACAACAAGGGTGATACATAAAAACATAAATAAGAATATAAAATAGCACAGGATAGGACCTGCCAGGAAAACTGCACAGAGGAACACAGATCTGAGTTGGGAAGGAGAGATGGAACTGACATTGGATGGAGGTCGGGGGATATTCCAGCTGGAGGGAGTAGCATGGACGTGGAAATGCATTTGACATGTTCAGGGGGCAGTGAATGTATGGCTGTGGGCATAGCAGGAAGCTCACTTAGGGGAAAGGGAAAACTAAGGACACCGGCATAGTCGAGACAGGGTCTCAAATCTGGCCTGGGTCTCGATGTAAGGCATTTGGGCTTCATTCTTTAGGCAGTAGGGAGCAGTGCAGGGTTTTGGTCCAGGGCAAAATGATACTTTACTCTGGAAATAGTGTGCAGATGGAAAGGAAGTTCTCCGATTTTGTCTATGTCATCCTGCATAGATGCACATCGTGCTACGTGATCAAGCACAAGAGGGACTTTTCGTGGTGGGTGGAGTAGTTCTCTGTTGTCAGGGTTTGCTTTGTTGCTGTTATTGTTTTTTACTCTACGTGTACCTGGGTTACCCCACCATCAAAATGAAAACAATACTATACTTACCTTCTAGGGTTGTTTTAAGGGTGGAATTCGTGAATATATGTAAAGTGTTCAGCACAGTGCTTGGGTTTTGGTAATAACACAGAGTACAAAGATTTTAGAAAGGGAGTCACAATAAGCAGGAAAGAAGCTTGTGTGTATTGTGGCTACTCCCCTCAGAAGGTCCCAGAGACCCTCTGTCTGCATAGGGGAGACCCAGCCATCTGCCTCTCTGGATAAGCTTTCAGCTCTCTTCTGGGTGGAGGGGCAGGCTGGGGCAAGGGAGGGGAGAACTGGGGGAGCAGAAGTGACTGAGAACATGGGGTAGCGGGACACAAATAATCTCACAGAACACCAACATCAGAAAAGGCCACTCTGAGACCATGACAAAGTGAGACAACACAGGGCCACTTCGTACCTTTGTCCAAGCCAGGGCAAACCAAACTCACCGTGCCACCACAAACTTCCAAACAACACTCCCGTCAGCTGAAATGAGTGACTGCGGCGTCTTTACCAAGCATAGCTTTATCCCTGCTCTAGTTAGCCCTCCCCAGAGAGAAGGTCTTTGTTGAGATAAACATAGAATTGTCTCACTTTCTGTCCTTACTTTTTGTGCAATCCATTGCTTTCTTGGATCCTTCCCAATCACCCCCAAAGCCCAAATTCTATAATAGGTTCTTGCTATTCTTACAGAGATGCTCCACAGTTCCCCACAGTGAATGTTCTCCCTCAGTGTGATGCTGGTCACCCACAGGTGTGTTCCTGGGGGCCGTTGGTTGAAGGGCACTGACATCCTGTTCATCGTTATGGGCACTTTCAATCCTAACTGCACTTTTTTTGGATAGACGGGGTGCATTAGTTACAGTTCTCCAGAGAAACAGAACCAATAGGAGATTATATATATATATGTGTGTGTGTGTGTGTGTGTGTGTGTGTGTGTGTGTAAAAATATAAATGCATATAAAACAAAGGCTTTTTTAAGATTGATGCATAGGTAGGTAGGTAGGTAGATAGACAGATAGTAGAAATTTATTATAAGGAATTAGCTCATGAGATTATGGAGGCTAAGTCCCACAGTCTGCAGTCAATAGCTGGAGACCCAGGAGAGCTGGTGGTGGAAGCTCCAGTCCCCAAGCAAGCAGTTTCCATACCCAAGAAGAGCCAACATTTCAGTTTGAGTCCAAAGGCGGGAGACCGATGTCCCAGCTCAAGGGAATCAGGCAGGGTGTGTTTTTCTCCCTTAGTCTCGAGAGGGTCAGCCTTTTTGTTCTATTCAGGCCTTCGACTGATTGGACGATGCCCACCCATACTGGGGAGGGCAATCTGCTTCACTTAGCCTGCTGATTCCAATGTGAATCTCATCCGAAAACACCCTCACAGACACACTCAGAATAATGTTTGACCAAATATCTGGGCACCCCGTGTCCCAGTCAAGTTGACACATAAAATTAACCATCACAATGGGGCTTAATGTTGGCTAAAAACCTAGAGAAAGGCCTGGGTGCAGCCAGCATGCTGAAGTGTAGACCAGTGAACAAGCAGATGCTGAAACAGGAAGAACCCAGTGTGACCCCTGCAGCCATGTCTGTTGCCTTTGTCCCGGGGTGCTGTGTTCCTATTTTTGAAAGTTTGTCATAGAGGAAGTTTTGTGCAGGCACAGTGTGAGATGGAAAGTGTGTGCTGGTTTAGAGACTGTCTGCTTAGCCAAATAGTTGTAGGACCCTGGAGACAGAGGGCGTCTCTGAGGCCAGGACCCAGAGGTGCCTTTCTTAGGGGCCCTTGGCATGGTCCACACAATGGAGGGAGGCTAAACGAAGGCACCTGGGAAATATGGACAGGAAATGAGACATGACCCAGGAGGGTCAAGGCTGTCCAGCAGGTGGATGCCACGTTCAGGGCCGGCGTCATGAGCGTGTGGCCTGTGCAGTAACACAGTAGGGTCGCTCCATGCTTGATTTAATGCTCTGTTCCTCTGGGTTAGAACCTGGCAACTGAGGACCTGCTACTTTCCTTTTTTGCAGTTAAAGTATCTTAGTAAATTTAAAAGTAGAAATGTCAACCCCTCTGCCCCCTAAATCATAACACCTTGTGTGTGGCCCTCATCTTTGCTAGAGGAAGATGGGGAGGCGTGTTAAGGGTGGGGTGGAGCCAGGAAGTGGTCGGTGGACACAGACGGTGGAGGAAGCCTAGCTCCAGGAAGTTCTAGAGGAGAAATGTGTGGGTTGCTCTGACTTGCTAGGAATTCCATCACAATTTTCCACCTCCCCTCCTTGTCTGCTTTATGCCCAGCACAAGGCTTCAGGATACAGGAAACAGCAGCATTCAAGCACATTAGTGGAGAATTTTAAAGTACCTGGATTTAAGCTAGTCAGTGTACCATTCCCTTGGTCAGTTTTAATAGAATATTTTTTCCATTTGGCTTCATTACCGCATTGTAACAGTCTTGTTTTCTACTAGCTTGACTGCACATGAATCATAGATTTTGTTTTAGCACAGTTTTCATGTGAAACTGAATTCTGAGAGCCAACTAACCAACCTGCAAAGCTACTTTTGGAACACAACTTGTTTGTAAGCTGAGACTATGCATATTTAAAATTAGTAGAATACTGTATTGCAAAATCCCAAAGACAGTTACAAAGCAAGAATGCCCTAAATACATCCTTCGGAGAATTACAGAGGTAACCAGTCTCCATAAGGGCCTCAGTAATTGGCAATGGTGACAACAGGGGATATTTTGGGTTCAGGGTGGCTTCCTGCAGTTTTCAGAGTTCCTCCTTCATGTAAGGCCATGAAATTGTATTTGACTTCATGCTACTTGGTGAGGTCACTGGAACCAGTTTTGGTGTCTATTTTGACAGTGGGGAAAAACCGAGGTCCCTGAGAGAAAGATTCGCTGGCTGGTCCACAGGCCAAGGGCGTGCAGGAGCTGAAGGAGCCATCAGATCCCCGCCCCTTAAGGATTTCAGGAAGCCAAGGGTGCCTCCTTGCTCGAGCAGCCCTCGCCCTGATCTCTGAGTACTTTTTCTTTTGACCGGTGCGTCTGGGCTAAGGGTTTTTTTTGAGTAATCTCTACACATTTTTTGCTTCCTATATTTTCCCTCTTCCCAGCTTCTTGTCTGAGCTGGGGCTGGCCCTGTCCTCATTCCCTTTGGGAAGGATGCAGTGGGCAGGCGAGTACAGTAACCTCTAAGTCAGACTAGCTCTGTCTTCCAAAGATCTATGTTCTCAGGTCAGACCCAGATCGTCTAGAATAAACACAAAATGAGAAGGCTTTTCCCCGGGGTAGACAGTGTCTCCTGGGGCTGGAGGAAGTTGATCTATTTAGTAGCGG